GGCTCGACACCCTTAGGATTCTTTTAATAAGGAAAGCCACCAACTTCTGAGGCTCCCCTATTTTCTTTCACACCAAGAGAAAGGCTGGGGTCAAGCCCAGCAGCAACTGCCCTTGCCCAAACCCACCGGCTGAAGGCATCTTCACTGGTGAATCTTTGGCGGTTTATGGGTGTCAGGGACGCAACGTTGAATTGTCCCCTCATTGGTGGCTTGGATTGGTGGTTTGGAGGCAGGGTCGTGTCCAATCCACCAATGGGTTACCTGATATTCTCCCTCTGGGAAATGGCGCTTTCCAAACGCCGATGATTGGAGTTGCCAATAGCAAGTTTAGCCTCGCAGAAGTGACACGCTGTCCAAAGGTTGCACCACCAGCCCTGGAACATGCCCCTTACAGGAACATTCTCCCTTTCCGCTTTGATCCGGGGGTTCAGGGGGGGAAGTCTTCGAGCTTTCCTTCTTGTTGGTTGAGTGTAAAGGGAAACCCTTCCCCCGGATGAAATCCCAACTACGTTCCACTAAAAAGGAGACCATCTCCAAGACTTTCGGACCGCCTTCTCCACAGGAAAGCCGGCGACTGAGGCGCTCTGCTCCTGCTCCTGGCCAAAAACAAAGATGAAGCTGGACAAGCTCAGCCAGTATATCTGCACATGTTGCAAGAAAGGGGTATTCAATATGATGGCACATGACTTATTGATTGATAAGACTGCATGCTGCCCGATGTGTTGTGGTTTTTGGGCGCAGACAAGCGACCGAGTAAAGATAGCAAGCTACCGCTCCCGGAGTAAAACACATAGGCAGACAAATCCATAAATCAAATAATGTTGACCCCGGATTTCTAACCCGGTTTTATTGATAGGGGGTGGGGAGCGGTGGGGAGCCCTGAACCCCAACTACACAGCTGTTGAGCAAAAACCGTTTGTACCAACAACCAGGGAAAGTCCATTTCAGGTCATATCAACTTGTTGCGGGCTACACAATATTCATAACTATGAACCCGAGGAAGAAAAAAAACACCTATGCGATTTCAACAACCTTACGCACACTAGCGCAAATAGTTTAACAAGGTTGCCACACTTCATGTTGGTTGAGACTAACCTTCAACTACCCAGGTGGTGATCCTGCGCGTCATGCCCACGCATGCTCAAAGCTGAATGGGTAAGACCTTGACACTCGCCTCTGCGGGGTGTCCAAAAGGACGCACACATGTAAACCGTGGCTTCACGCATCGCGCCCCCTTTGAAGCGTCTCAGATTTGGGCTTGTCTCCATAGGTGCCATTGGGGCCATGGCCATGGTTCTACAATTTAACAAGGAACATTTCCGATGATCTGGATTCCCTCGGTCGATGGCATCCCCAAACCGGATTTCGGTCTCCTGGGTCTTGGCGGTCTCCCGTTCTGGGTCGTCCAGCATAACGTCTCCGAGAGCCACCTGAGGGCTGCTGGCATTGGACCGACTACCCATCCAATCGAATTGTTGGACTTGTTTGCCTGTTTGTTTACGGGGGTTCCCCAAGCGACAGAATCAATCCTTTTCGGGGTTGGCTTTTGCGTTGGTTTACCCTCTTTCCGACAATCATGGAAGACGATGGGAGGGTTTTGGAAGACTACCAGCCTCTCGAAAACGACCCTGTCCACTTCCATGATTCTTGGAAGGCGATTGGACACTACAGGGCTTTGCACGCAAAGGGTGAGAAATATATCCATTCCGGTTCCCTGGCGCAGCTAGGGCAACGAAAAGGAATCCATGCACACGTGTCTTTGTCCGCACTGAAAAAGACACCATACTATTCGGTCGGGCCCAAGGCCCAGTGTATCTGAGTCTAATTTGCACTTTCCAGATTCATGTTGTGTGCACTGGTCGAGCTACATTGCCCGATTCCACCTGCAGGCGATCTTCCACTCATCAAGATAAGCTCGTACATGGATGTTTTCTCGCTTGCCGCTTTCCTCAAGGAATGCCCGTGACTCCAAAACAATAGAACAAATACCCAGCCATATGATTGCAATCTTCTTTTCCTTTTCAGCATAAACTCTCTGAGTCGCCTATAAACCCTTTTTACATGTAAGTGGGGTTATAGTGATCTGTCTCAGAAAGGGTGACTTGTTGAAAGGCAGGAAATGAAAAGGACTGTAGGTGGCCCTAAGTTTAGAGACTCCCATGCTTTGTTTCCTACTGTTTCGAAAGACAAAAATACAAACTGAGGTGATGAACCAAACCTCCACTCGTCTGGAGACCCCTTTTTGGGTTCTCCTAGGGCTTGGCCCATTTCCTAAAATGGCGCTTGGGTGTTCGTTTTGTGTCCCTTATGAAAAGTCTCTCCCAAAGGGGAGCGAGCCACTTGGATCTCCGGGGCCCGGCCTTGCCGCTTCGGCCCCGCATCTTCTCTGGGCCTGCACTCATTCGGCGCAACGGCATGATTTGGCTCTAGGCCAAAACCCTGTCCCTGGTGAAGATCAAAATAGGTGGCATATGGATGTTCATCCGACCCAAAATGCAGCCATAGGTCATGCCCCATTGCCTTTTTTTTGGGGGACTCGCTGTTTTGGCAAACGTAAATGTTGTCTGCTGCTTGCCTCCCTGTCTGTATTGCCTGCATAACGCACTAGTGAGCAAGTGCACTTAGAGCGTGAGTAAGTACCATCTGCGGGCATGGACTCCCTAGTGAGCACGTGCACTTGAGCGAGCGTGTGCTCTTACCATCTGGGGGGACTGCCCGCCTCCATGCCTGCGCGCCTGCCTGCATGCTTGCCTGTCTGCATGCCTGCCTGTGTGCCTGCATGCGCCTGCATGCCTGAATTGGCCTGATGTTGGCAGCCATCGCCTACATGATGTGTATGACCATGCCTGTCCGCTGCACCAAAGGAGCAAATGGTTCCCGCAGCACCCAACATTCCCTAGCCCGAACAATAGCACGGAAAGCAGAAACTTGCCAATGGATTCTGCTCCGAACCTGAACAAAGGGACCAAAGTTCAAAGGATGATTCACTGGACTCCTTGAATCCCCTTTTTACCCTGTTAGACCTGTTAGCACGGGTGGGAAAGCCGAAAGCCGACGATTGATCCGACCGAAAGCCGCCTTTGCTCTCGCCCTCGTCTTTGAGGGTTTCAGGCAGCTTCAAGATCGGACTCTCGAGCTCTTCTGCCTCCGTCTCCTGCTGGAGGCAACGCGCAAGAAACACCTGGACACTCGCAAAAGAACGGACGAAGTCAGAATATGTGTTGCTTCTTTGAAGGTGCATTGATGCACTGCAAAACACATCACCGGCCTGTGAATCGCCTACAATTGAGCCCCGTTCATGTATCACCCGTGAAACTGACCTTTGACTTTGGCCTGGTGTTGAAGGAGGAACTCCCATGCCCAAACAACGAACGAGGAATCCCCATCCTTAAACTTGCCGGAAAATCACAAAAAGGACACCGACAAGATTTGCTTGGCCTTTTGTAGAGAATGAGCCTCTCCTGCTTGGCCCAGCCCAAGCGAAAGTGACGTTGTTGAGATTCTGTTTCATACAAGTATTTTGTCAACAATTATAAACAACATGTCGGAGACCTCTCAGGGAGGGCTGTGGCTGTCTCCACATTCGAGACCGAGGCCTCTGAGTGGTTGGCTTCTGGGCGTCAGGTTTCCGTACGTTGAGATATGGGTCGCTCACATAGGGAAGCGTCTTTAGGTTTATGGCTTGCTCTTTCGGTTCGGAAACCGCCCCAAAGGGTACCCTCAAAAAGACGCGCCACCCAATGGCATGGCACATGTACCCTCCCGTCCACTAGCCTGGAACCCCAAAGAGGGTCCCCTTTTGTAAGGAACATAGTCTTTCAGTACCCCTCAGTCAGGCTCCATTTTAGGTTTCCGAAGCTGGTTGCTATTCTTCCAGCTTATAAGGGTGCAAGCTGTCATACATGAATATTGGGTGGGTATCTATGCCAAATACTGAATACCAGGAGTTAGATGCAAAGCTACCTCCGGATCGCAACAGGGAGGGACTCGGAGGTTTTGTTCAGCGAAGCGCTCCTTGCAGAGCTGTCGCATTCGCCGCAGGGCCGCCAGGCCATGGGTAAGTCGGGCCTGACAGGTGACCCGAGATCCATCGAAGCCGGGTAGCTCCAAAAGCTCACCAACCAGAAGCCTCCGCTGCGAAAATTTCGGACATTGGGATTTTGGACATAGAAGGAAAGGGAACCAGGAACACAAACATGTGAATTGAATTGCCAGGTACTTGAGGCATGCAAGAGGCGCCCTTTGACGGCCTAAGACAAAAGGGAACTGTGAATGCCATCAACTCTGCCGAGCCCTGGCCCTGGATCAGAAAGCAACACAGTGGTCGGCTGCACTCCCCCCTCGAAGTATGGCGTGTCTTTGAATAGGGGAGCCGCCCAAACCAGTGGCTTCCCTTTAGCTTCCGTTTGGTTTCACTTTGCTTCCCCTTCCCTCAAGACAGACACCCATATGGGAGTCAGAGTCATACGGCAAAATTCAAGAGGTGAATCCACGCTATGGGGACTTATAGGGTCATCTCCAGCAGCATGCACCAAGACTTGGGCGTGCCTTCTTGTGAGCCCGTTTAGAGCCAAACCCACTTGAACACATGCCGGCTTTGGGCAACTAAGTCTGTAGCGTCACCATTTGTGCCACGGGAGCGGATTTTTACCGTCGCCTGCCACACAACATGCAACCTCAATTCGACCTTGATTGGTCTGCTAATGTGTTCATGCCACAGACACACATACACAAAGACAAGAACAACAACATTGCGTCTTTCTGAATCGATGTTACCAGGCCCTCTGTTCCGTGGTTGAATCTCCTGGTGTGTGGGCGATGGGCATGGTCCACTTGATAGGCAGTTCAGTGGCTGACCGCATTCCTTATAAACGGTCTGATAACAGTGCTTACCGAGCGCCAAGTAACCGCATTTAACAGGTGCACAAGAGTTGCTCATGCTTCCGGTGACTGGATGTGCCCTTTGCAACCCGTGCTTCCCTTCAACACATGTCACATGGTCATCTTACCTTGACTCAAGATGTCACACGATAATGACGTAAACCCTCAGCCGACTAGGAGATTTGGTTCAAATTAAAGCCTTGCTCTTTGCCAAACGCATTGGTGGCTCGACAATTTTTGATAATTCCTTTAGAATAGTTGTGCGTTCGTGAATCTGAGCAACATAACCCTTCCAGGATGTTGAAGACGGATCCCCTTGATCAATTCGGTGCATCATCAGCGTACTTCCCCAATTGATCCAGATCCCCTAACATGGGACACCCCCCATTCAATGTGAATCAGGAACTCTGCCTTGTCAACTGGATCCTGAATTTCCAGCCTCTTGAGGCTTCCCCTAAAACAATCCAAACAACCCCGCCGGGGATGAATCTTCATTCGGAACCTTGTGCACATCATTTCCGGAATTTCTGCCCTGCCACTGTTCAGGGCCCACATCTGGCATACACTGAAGAACACCTTGAGATTCTGCTTCACATTTGGGAGCCTCAAAATTTTCGCGCACCTTCAAAACGGCCTTGCTTCCTGACTTCCCTTCCAAAAGACTCCTCCGGGGGAAAGGCGTGGATGGCAACCTGGTTTGGATTTTATGGACGCCGGCTGGCTGCAGAGGGCAAATGGGAAACCACCAGCCACCAGGCCACCAATCCAAGTCACCAGTTGAGGCGGTATGTTATGGTTGACCCTCCCCATCCCCATCCCCCCCCCCCTCCCTCCATCTGGCGCAAAAAAAACATGTTCTGGGGCGCCCGTGCCCCGTGCTTCACCAGATCGACTGCCGCTTCAGGCAGCCACACCACCTCTCCGCGGCGGTTTATTTACTCGCTCCAGAGCTGACCCGGGTTGAACCGACGGATTCCCACACCGAATACCACCTGAACACACACTTGAACCAACTGAACACACCCATATCCCACAAACCCCTGCAAAGGTGAGGAACAACTGTGAATTTCTGACAGGTCTGAGCCTCTTAGCAACTGCTAACACCCCTGTTCCAGGCCTCTCCACGTCTCTTGGGAAATTGGCGAATTCGGTCCGAATCGTTTTGACTGGAAGGGCGAGGGGCTTGTGGTAATATGAGTTGTTGACTCAGAGCATCGCCAACGGGGCGAAATCAATGGTGAGGTCATGTTGGTAATACGATCCGAGAAAAGGTGTAAGCATGTCTTGGCAAACCAAGTTCCATCACAATCTATGCGTCTGCCTCTCACTTGGAAAGCAATGCATTCTGACAGGTCCACCACTTTCTATGTTTAGGGGGAAAATTGGGTGGCGCCTATTTTAAGGGAACCCCCAAAATGGCTGGTTTCCATTTGGCTCCCCCCTCAAAAAGAAAAGGACTCATTTATTTCCATACGGTCTATGGGGCCTTCGGGGTTTTGCCGACGAGCCATGATCATGGCTAGTCACATTCTTGCATGCTGGCTTTGCGTGTGAAGTTGGCCATATTTCCGGTGGTGCTAGATTCCCCTTGAATCCAGGGGGGAATATAACATATTGAGCAAATGGAATTCATGTCCACCCATTTGGGAGGGTGCTCCCCATTACACATAAACACGGAACCCAAAACAGAATACAAAACAGCATTTTGTAGGAAGCTCCTTTTGGGAAATGGAAGAAGGGCACCCCTTTTCGGTTCCTTCCTTTTGGAAATTTATTTTTGGAGCTTTCCTTTTGGAAATTTCCTTTTGGGCTTCTCCTGTTAGGCTTCTCCTTTTGGAAATATCCTTTTCGGTTCCTTCCGTTCATTTGTAGGACACATTTTTGCTCCTCCCCCCCCCGTCCCCCCGGCTCGCTCCCGGCGCCTCGCCTGCGCCACGGCGGCACCTGCGGCGGCAAAGACCAGCTCCGAGGGCCAGGCGGCCTGCGGCGTTGCGGAAACGCGTTCCGGGGCGTTTGGCCCCCACCGATCCTGGGCCTTGACCAAGGCAGACCCCTTAGAAATGTCCCTGCGCCAAACGCTTCCAAGACTGCAAAAGCTGCTGTTTGACTGCTCATTGAGCTCCCACAAATCGCTGGGTTGGCGCCTCTGGTGGTTTGGTTGGGTTTGGATTGGTGGTCTGGTTGAACGGTTGGGTGGGAAAACCATTTATCCTCAGAGAAGGGAGTGATGGTCGGGCCAAAATCCTACGGTCGGGCCCACTCAGGGTCGACTAGCTGAAGGCCGCCATTTTTGGGGCTGGTCCTTGGTGCCTTTCTGGGGTTCCCCCGCCGGACCCTAACCGTGGGACAAGTCTGGGCATAGGTATGCTGTTGAAAAGAAATAGATGGCACTGGTAGCTGATTAGAACGAAAACTGAAACCAGGGGAACCCATCTATCTTCAACCAAGCTAGGCTAAGGACACCTACGACTCGGGGGTAAATTTCGGGAACCTTGCATATGTTTCACACGAAAGGGACTCGTATGGAAGAAACAAAAACTTGGGTGACGCCCCCCCTTCCCCTGTATCTCCAATAATAAGGAGTTGTTGTATGTGTCCGAACCTGAAATGCTTGTCACAGACCTCTGCCACGGGAGTTGGACAAATCATGGCTTGGCCTGGTGAACTTCCCGTTCAAATCGTTGGACCTAACTCCCCAAAATTGGAGATTGGACCTCCCCCCGAGGATTCTTGAGAAACCCATTGGAGAAAGTACGTCCTCCTGGATAGCTGTTGAAAGGGAAACTGAAACACGAGGGAAAGGAATTTGGATGATGGCTCATGAGAAGCAAAATGTACAGCCTTTGGCACTATATGTTCTGGCAAAGGTTTTTAGTAAGCAATTCTATGGCATGGCTGTTTCACCATGTTGCACAATTCCCTTCAAACAAGGAACTGGCCCACTGCCACGACCACGGTATTCGACGTGCGGGGTGGAAATTTGAGGTTCCATTGACTGAGGTCATGACCCCATAATTTTGGGTGTACCCAATGTTTCTGGACACTCCAGGTCTTTTGCCACCAAACGGGAACTGAGCCAAAGGAATTCCAGAATCAAACCCCGAACCAGCCATCTAAGAACAGAGTTCGGGCTTTCACTCCTTCCCCCCCTCCAAATATTTCTGGGCAGCACCTGAGTATCTCGTTTAGCCAACTGCCGCAAATCGCCTGGGTGAGCAGCGGGAAGGACAAGAAGCCCAGCAGCACGGCGATGAGGCAATAGAGTCGGGTGTAGAGCCACCTGGGTGTGATTTTTCTTGAGAATTGGTACCCTTTTCAGGCTGGTTTCAAGGGAAGGCAGGAAAACCGAAGCCATTCTTGGGAAACCAAATCCCAATTTTGGTTTCCTAAACGGCGGAACCTCCGAAACTAATGTGTGGTCAATTGTCCATTTAAAACAATGGTGTACTTATCATTTGACAACAGGTGGGCGTCCATCTTTTGCTAAAGGTGGTTGGAAAAGGGAACCGACTCCAATGTCTTAGAAGCCACTACTGTGGCATTATCAGCAAGATATTTTCACCTTTTTTTTTAACGATGCTGCAGCACCCGAGCCTGTCTACAACCACAAGGTAAGCAAGCCAAATAACACAACACATACCAGCCGGACCCTTCGGGGACGATGCGTGCCTTCCCGCTGAAAAAGTCGAGTTGGGTAACAAGCGGTCCAACATCCTGGGAACCAAATCTGCGGCGCCGGCCGCCTGCCTACCTCTCACCGAACGGCCGTCTGGGGCCGCCGGCCGCTCTGCGGCATCTGCCGCGATGACCGCCCGCGCACTGTCAAAGCACAAAGCCTGGCTTAGGACAAAACCAAAGGTTATCTGACCCCTCTCGGTTTCCCCAACGAGTTAAGGCCCTAAGCTCTCATGTTGAGGAGCCTCAACAAGCTTCGGAAAACACAACTTGCCCGTGACAATGGGCAAAAGGATGCCTTGAAGTTGAATTGGCTGTTCCAGTTTTCAAGGAAACTCGTCCGCCCATAAGGACAAGTTTGTTTTTGGCTGTCCCACCAAAGGGGCTCCTTTCTTTAGCCCCCCTCCCCCGCACATGTTGGTGGGATACATCCCTTGCCACACGGGCCACGATTGATTGAATTTCCTTTGTGGAGCCATGTAATTGCGTGTCTTGTGTTTTGGACGGCGCATAGTCGTATAGGAAATCCTGCCAGTGTCATGAACGCGATCATACATGTTTCCCACTATGATTTGCGACCCAAAGAATGTGATTGTGTCGGTGGATCTTCCGGGCAAGCCGCTAACTCGCCAGCTAAATCACGTGCATGCCGAAATTTAGGCCCGTTGAACCTATGCACGCTCAATCAGAAGCGTCGTCGCACTCCAGAATGAAAGTTGCCCGGCCGTTCCTGGTTCTTGGGGGCAAGTTGAAATCCACCGCGCCAAAACACCAAACCAAATGTGCGGAAGCCTTGGCGTTGCACGCATGGAGACCAACCCGCTTGTTCTTTGTCGCTTGAGCTGAGTTGCAGACCGACCCTTCGGACATAGATGTGTCCTGTTGCCCTCTGTGGGAGAAGATGGGCGTACCTCAAGATAGATTCGTACATGCAAGGCAGGTGCTCAAAGGCACGATCTTCTGAAGGGTCCATACAGAGTGGAGGGTACACCTAGGTGTCCTTGTGAAACAAACAAACAACACCAAACAGAGATGGCGCTACAAACTGAAACTAGTCTCATCTATTGTTAGCCAAACTTACCTAAGAGGATAGCTACTATGGATGGACGAAATTATGCACTAGTTGGGATGAATGTGAAAGCTGGCATGTTAGCCACCCACCAACTGCAATAAATTTGCCATCCACAGCTATGTCTACATAGGTATCCTCTCAGGGGAAATAGGTGGCCCTTGTAGATGATTAAACCACCAGATAAACCAGGGCCATCTATTTTTCTACCAAAACAACCAAGCAAAACACCTATGTATGTCTATCTCACGTCTAGGGAATCCGCCTGGCCTCGTAGTCCTCGCAAAAGCTCTGCAGACGACCGTGTGCCCGCAAGACCTGCAAGCTAGGTTCCGGGTAGACCCCAAGCGGCACAAAGTCAAATGGCGTCGTGTTTGCAGGGAACCTGGCTGGGGTTGGTCTAAATGGAAACGAGAGATGACCCATTTGCATGTTCCATGAGACTCCAACTGAGGCCAACCCACCCTTCAACGGGTGGGACCGTGGTTCCCAAAAATACAAACGGACCCTCTCTTCATGTTTTTCACTTGGCCAATCTACGGTACAGAAAGCAAGAGTGTCACATTCAGTTTCACATTTATTCAACCGGTTTTGAGGGAGGCCCAAATCAAAGTGGCAGCAAAACGGCGCAAATTGGCCATTTGAGCCAGGAACACACACACTTGAACTCCAAATGAAGAGTGCTAATCTTTCGAGTACAACTGATGAGTCTCGAGTGGGTTCGGCTTGCAGTCACTTGGCTTCCGTCTAGCAGCGAACACGTTACCCGAAAGAACAAGAAGCACAAACAGCGCCGCAACCAAGGGGGCCAAAAAGGACTTTCAGAATCACTTGCAGGTACAGGAGTTTGCGTCCAAACTCCCTTCCGGCTCATTCTCACAGCTTCGTTGGCACGGCTAGAGAATGAGCTGCCGTGCCCCCTGCCTCCGAAAACGGCCCAAGGTGGTGACAGGGTATTCTGTCACTCCGCACCACACACGCCCCTCAATGAGGGGCGAGGAGTCTCCTTTTCTGCAGGAAGATCACATGCTCAACTTCGTGTTCCTATCGTTGACCAAAATATCCACCGCGGCGAGGGGAACGCGAAACAGCCCTAAACCGCTCAGAAGACGGGAACGAGAGATCACCACGATGAGCATTGCGAGTGTCGCCATAGAGGACTGAAGCGAATTGCGAAGCAGTCGAGCGATCACCATCAGAAATAGGAGTGGCATAGGTGAACGTTTCCTCAACAGGAATGGCATCGGAATTCTGAACATTTCCAAGTGATTGATCATGGGAATGATGTGTAGTGAAGGACTCACTTCGAGACAGAATGCGTTGGTATCCTTGATGCTGCCAGTCGCGAATGGTCCATGCCTGACCGTGTTCACCAGTACGCCCATTGGGATCAGTTACCCGCTGCCACTCCCGAAAAGAATTGTCTGGTAGATCAGGTACAGTGTCTCCGTGGTGCCACCGCTGAGGCTGTCCTGGAGTATAGATCCGCACCCACTCCTGATCCTGCCAGACCGAGTATTCAAGCCATGGGTGCAGCTTCGCATCCTCGATGTCCATGTCGAAGTAAGAGGCAGGGCGTATCGCGGGTTCAGATCCAGCTAGTAAAGAAACAGGCACCATGCACAACCATGCACAAGCATCAACCAAGCAAGGTAGTGCAAGTATGAAAACCACCCCTTTTTGTATTCTGCCCAACACGCGTGAGTCTAGTCATCATTTAGCTCGAAGATAGGTTTGACCTTCGCGGTGGTGCTGCCTGATGGATTCACAGGCCGGTATGGGTCAGAGACCCCAACAGTCTCCGGTGGTGCAATTCCACGAGATGCACGTACAGGTTGGTGTTGGTGGGAAGCGTGACGTGCGCGATCCGACAGTTGTTGAGAGATCCCCTCTTGGAGACGAGTCAGATCTTCAGTGGAGAAAGCCGCCGCATCCGAGGATCTAAGAATCGCTTCCAACATCTGCGGTGACATACTCAATGCCGCGGATTGCGTGGCCACGTTGTGGTGATCAGGAAAAGACATCGAATCAAAGTCATGACCAGCTTGAGGGGCAGCGACTCTCCGGTAGCCCTCTGTAGATCAGTCTCTTTTGTACCGCATGCTGTTCCAGCCACGGCATGACAATTCAAACCCGGGAAGACAGATTGATAGGTGTACGGCTGCAGACAACAATTACTGCAAGAGACACAACAACAACCACGCAAGCAATCACTTTTGCAGCAATGCACGGCTCAGGTGTTGAAGTCCATCTCCTGAATCGAATTGAATTGAATAGACTCCCCAGGAAGACGAGGACGAGCATCAGCCACCATCTGAGTTTGAAGATGCTGACGAAGAGGTCAGTCCGGCGTACATGAGGCCCGGTGAGCCCGAAGCGAAAACTGGACGCGCAATGCTAGGGTGTGGACGACCCAGCCGTTGATATCCTCTGGTGACCCAGTCCCGACAATGCCAAGTATAGAAGGATGCATACGAGACCGGCTGAGAAACAGCACCCATATTGGTGCCGCCCGTGCTCTCCCTCGGCCAATACACTTCGAAGTGGTATACGTTGCGCCACTCCCGATAGGTGGTTGAGTCCTCCGGGGCAGGCCCCAAGGTGTTTTCGGCGACTGGATGCCACGGACCCGGTACATAGATCCGAATCCACTCAACGCTTGTGTTCGCGGGGCCATTGACGATGTCGTAGTCAAAGTAGTGTGGCAGGGCCCATCGTGCAGCGCCATACATTGTAGAATTGAACATATCAACCAGGCAAGCCGCTCGAAGTCATAAAGGAAAGCGGCGAACACATGGAGACGGAACGCACAACACAAAGCAAGACAACCCAACATGGAATCACACTCAACGCAGGGACAACCGCGTCATTTTATCCGACATGCTACCCAAGTATCACTCCGAATCGTTCCAAGGATCATAGAATGGTGGTGGTGAAGGTTCCCGCCACGCCCCATCCGGAACAGATGAGTCCACCGAGGAATTAGCGTCTGCATTCACGAGCGTCGCAGATCCAATGGCTGGTACAGGAGCTCCAAGACGTTGATACCCTCGTGTTTGCCAGTCGCGGTACTCCCACACGTGGTAGGACACATACGAACTGGGCGTGACGATGGGGTCCACTGTTGTTCCTCCGGTGCTGTCTTCTGACCAGTACACTTGGAAGCGATATGACCTGCGCCACTCCCGATACGTGGAAGCGTAGATTGGGGCGTGCACTATAGCATCATTGGGAACGGGCCGCCACGTGCCCGGTGTGTAAATCCGAATCCATTCCACTCCTCTCACGATCTGGTACTCGAAATAGTGAGGATTCATAGCGGCAAGACAGGTTGTGGCTGAACGCACTCGAAAATCTGCGGCGAAGACACTAAAGCAATGACAACCACACACAGCTAGAGTGTTAACCGAGGCAATGCAAGGCAACTTTTCAAACTGAAAGTGAGACACAGCAGCGAGGTTTGTAATATACGACACCTATGACAACCCACGAGGACAGAGAAGCCACGGTGCGCTGCAGTGATGTCGATGACCAATAAGCACGATCTTGAAGGTTGGATCGATGGGTGTCCATCAATTGAGTCAAAACCGGCTGTAGGTCAGCAAGAAGACTGGAACCATGTACATGCCACCGACGAGCTAGTTTGCGAAGTTGCGTAGTGAAACGCTGATGCAACAAGCCAACATCACCGAAATACTGATCCTTCATAGACGCGGCCATGATCTCCATGTCAATGTCCGCATTGATGCGTGAGAACTCATCTACCATTACAGCATGTTCATGTGCACGGTGTAGGTGGTGATCATCAATGTCCAAACAGCGACACGGAAAAGATGTTTCAGGAGTCCATCTGCGTTGCCATGTGCGGTAGTTGTAGATCCTGTCGCCCAACGTGGCGCTGCGAGTTTCCACCACTCGGATCTTTGGAAGGAATAGGGAGGGAAACAAGTCACGATGAGAAGCAATCCAGCTTTGTAACCATGTGCCAAGTTGAGCTTTCCAATTCCGGACATGTAGAGGCGGTAGAAGTAGTTGTGTCAAAGTGCTGGGTGATTGTAGCTGTCGTTTGCGCAACACCTGGGCGAGTGCCTTGGAGCGAAAGGGCTCGTTGACAAAGACGGAGAGTCGCAGAAAGTAGTAAAGCTGAGTGGGAGGAAAAGCCGCCGACAGTAGGTCACGCATGGCTTGGAACGTTGCGCCTGTATTGGATCCCAGCTGATAGAGAATCGAGTAATGTGCTTGAATGTCATCCAACATGTCGGGTCGTAATTGCCGTTGAAGATCCGGATGTAGTCGTCGTCGAAAGCGTTTGTGTAAACCGAGGGAGGTGGGAGACGACAACGAATGACGTCGAAAATCAACGAGATGCTCTCGGAAGCCCACCTTTCGTAGAAGTCTATGTACCCAGGGCGCATTCAAATGCGGACGTAGCAGGTATTGCCACTTGCTTTCTTGGACCCAAACCGAGGAAACGGGAAGTTTAATCTCCACCGGAACGGCACAGAAAAGCCAGTAAGTATTGGAGCGCTTCCAGTAGTGAAGCGCGGGTTCGAAGAAGGCATGACGTCCCCGGAGTAGTTGTAGAAATTTGCGACTGCGTGAGTGTTCACGTCGTAGAACGTCCTGATCAGTCGCACCAACGTAGTAAGGCGTGTGCCATGGAGAAAGTCGGATGTAGACGCACGGTTGTTGGTGATGACCTGGATCGTGAATGAAGTCATAGAGGTCCGGAAACCGTGTCCGCAATGAGCGAAGATGTCTCGTGTCTGCGAAAGTGGAGCGCAGAATTTCACACAAGAGAGATGCCTTGTAGAAGTGAAGAACTTCAAAGAACGGTGGAAAGTAGCCGTGATCTTGAGAAATGAGACGTTGCAAGAAACTGATCAATAAATAGGCGGTGCACCGACATCTGTGAAGCTCATACCTGTTGGCCACAGTGTGTTGAGAATGCGACATAGCGTGATTCGGAATCTGAAGGGCAATCCGGACCACAACTAATACCTCCAGAATGAGGCCCAACCACGGTAGTTGCGTGATTGATTCGTACTCATCGGCTGGTATCGACGGTGGTGGTAGTCCAGGGAAGCATAGATTCCACAGCGGCGAAGCTCAGCCAACATGGTGAACATGCAACCAATGAAATCTACCGTGAGGCGGCGACATGAATACAAGCTGCACAGAATATCACGCACAAGACAATGCAAGCACAGTCAAGCACAAGATCAAACTAATGCAAAGCAAGAAGATGACGGACGAGTTTTAAACCTTGACTCATCCGTGACACGGCTGCCGCTCCGGGCTCATAAGTGAACGAAGTTCGTCAAGGTGCCTGCTCATCCGCTGAGTAAGCGAGCGGTCACGATGAGGTGACTCAGCGCCTTCTCAGTGAGCTTGGTGAGATAGCCGGGCTCCAGTCCCCACGAAGCCGCCATCGCCCCGAGAGTGGGTGCGTCGCCTTTTGGCATGCGTTGACGCGCCTGAAGGAGTTGCGTCGCCATGGAATCCAATGACTTGTTGCCGTTGAGCCGGGACGGGTGATTGGCCCACTTGACCAGTGACGTCAAAGTTGTGGTTGTGGGCGATTGCTTGAGATACAAGCGTGGCTGGTCACTGGTCCATGTGTAGTACTTGACAACTTCTTCCGGCGTGCTGTGCATGGTGAGCAATTGAGAGGCCGCCGGCTTGGACGGTGGTGAAGAAACTCCGTGAAGAGACTGAATGATCCGGGGCTGCACCGCGCCATCAAACGACTTGCCATCAAGGGCCGCTGCGCTGGCCGTAGGGAGGGAGCTGGCAGGCGACGAGGATTGTGTGTGGTTGACCGGTGGTGGTGCAACCAACTCTGCATCATCTTTCTGGCTTGCCACCGTGGGGGAAGTCGAAGCGCGCAGCGATGCTGAATACTGAGCCTGGAGCAGTTCATGAGCACGATTTAGATCATTGTACTTCTTGACCATGTCATCTGTCTGGGTGGGAGGCGTGAGAGATGCGTGGTGTTGTTGAAGAAATTGAAGTACCAAGTTGGCCAAATGGTCATGAACCTTGATCCGCTGATTGAAGTCATCGAGGTTGAGTCCCAGCGAATTGGCAAGGTCCTTTTCCAGGGTGAGCAGGTTGATCGACTGTGATCGTCGTAGTAGTTTGGAACAGGCACTCCAAAGCAAGGCCTCAGTGCGAGTGCGAAAGCCTTCCCACGTCACGAATCTGCCGTGAGCGAACGCTCGGAGCAGCCAGTTGGTGAGGCCCCCATGAATAACCTGAATCAGGCGAACGTCACGAGTGTCCATGCCGGACATGTCGCGTTGGTTGCTATGCGGAGTGTTGGCAACCGTCATGGGCAGGCTGAAGTTGTAGAGCTGATTGACATCTAACATGCCATCTCCAGGTGTCCAGTCAGGTGATGGTGTAAGCCAGGCTTTCTGAGGACGAACCGGTAGAGCAGCAGGAGGTCCAGGTGGCGGTATAGGTTGCGAGGTAGTGACCGGTGGTGACATCACGGACGGCATGAACTTCGTTGGCGTGGGCTCTGGAGGAATCGGCATCATGTAGTTGATCGATGGATGTTGGAACTGCTGCGTGGGACTAGGGATCGATTGAAAATTGGTGGGCATCATCGGGAAATTGTTGGCGGAGTTGTAGCCAGAATTGTGTTGCCAAGATACCAGGTTGTTCCAATCCATGCCCTCCGAGACGTGGTGGTCATTGTGTTCACGTCGGTGTGCTTTACGAGCTTGAGGAGAAGTACTCCGGTCGCGTCTGCGCCGAGTCCTGGATCTATCACGATCATCACGTCGAGACATGGTGACGCAACCGACTCTCAATCTTCACACTTCCACCTTGAGAGAAACGAATCCGACAACATGCAAATCAATGCAAATGCAAGTCATCGGCCCCCAGCTGCGATGGTTGAAGAAATGGATCCGACAAAAGGTAAGTCGATGCAAGTTGATGTCAGCGTCCATCATCAGCATTGGTGCAAGAAATGAATCTGACAAATGAAAGGCAATGCACGGTCAAGTCAGCAGCAATCAACCGCGTGGTGAGAGCAACAAATCCAACAGATGGAAAGCGAATGCAATGCAACTAAGCAGCCGTCTGCAGCTATAGTGAATCCGACAATTACAAGACAATGCAAATGCAAGTCAGCAATCTTCAACCGCTATGATACGAGCAACAAGTTCAACCAATGGCAAGCCAATGCAATGAAAGTCGGCAGCCAGCAGCTGTGGTGAGACGTCACTATGGTCTGATCGCTGTCTTCCCTTTAGTGAAACCTCGTTCCTGGTTAAATGTGAAATTCCGCTGTTCTATGATAAGCACGTTGAGGTCAAATTTTCCGACAGAGCCGGCCCGGGGTCACACAATGGGTACACCCGAGGATTCCCCACGAATGGGGTGTACACACTTGAACTCCAAATGGAGAGTGCTAATCTTTCGAGTACAACTGATGAGTCTCGAGTACAACTGATGAGTCTCGAGTGGGTTCGGCTTGCAGTCACTTGGCTTCCGTCTAGCAGCGAACACGTTACCCGAAAGAACAAGAAGCACAAACAGCGCCGCAACCAAGGGGCCAAAAGGACTTTCAGAATCACTTGCAGGTACAGGAGTTTGCGTCCAAACTCCCTTCCGGCTCATTCTCACAGCTTCGTTGGCACGGCTAGAGAATGAGCTGCCGTGCCCCCTGCCTCCGAAAACGGCCCAAGGTGGTGACAGGGTATTCTGTCACTCCGCACACACACACACGGGCGCATGGAACGTCGGGTTTAAAGCATTTCCCTCCCTCTAACACTCATGAACAGCTGGAACACTATTTGAGGCACACTGAGAGACATGATTTGAAAAGTACTCTTGGCAGCCGTTCGCTCGCTGTGAATG